TGTGCTGTTCAGGGTAGTCACCTAACAAGGACTTCTGTTAATCCATCAATTACACTTTTACATTAAGAAGCTTTAGCACATTTTGATCCCTAACTTAATTTATCCTTCCTGTGCAAAGGAAGGGCTGAGGTTACTTTCACTTCTYAGAAAATATTATTGCTCACTTTTAGTGAAAAGATTGCTGAAAGCTTATGATTCCATAACAACTACTCTGTGTTTAGCCGTTTTGTGATCCARTTCCCAGGTTAAATTTCATATTTTCTAGGTATTTCTATCCATTGAAAATCACATCAACCGAAAGTTCAACATTTAGGATGTTCATTAAAAAAATACATAGGAATTGAAAAAAAAAGAAAAAAAAAAGGATGTCAGTTTTATATAGTCAGTTTTATATAGTTAGACTATATAGCTTTAGTCAAAGATGAGCTTTTTTGAGACATCTTGTCAGAGCATTTGGAGTTTACTTGAAGATGCCTTCCCCAACAGCTGTGTTTTCTGAAAAAGTTGTGCATAGGAAGGCAAGTGCAGAAACCCCACAGTTGGATATATTTTAGACTCCTATTAAGACCTCTCCTCCTACATTAGACCCACTCTACACATGGTAACATTATGCCTTGTGTGAACTGCTTACAATCCAAAGAAAAGGAGAAGCAGAGAAATGAAAAAGAAAGGAAAAACTGAGTGCCCTGTCCAATTGCAGAATCCTTTTTGAATACCTGGTGCACTTTTAGGTATTGCTATCTCTTTGATATTGTTCTGCTGTTACACAAATAGTGAACATAGTCCTATGTTCATATAGTTTATAGTCATAAACCCAGCATCATAAACCCATTACAAGGTTTAGTGTAAGTGGTACTAGGAGTTTTAAGCAGGAAGTATAGCATAGTTTGGTGTAAGTTAATAACAAATAAATGTTTTTGATAGTAATTTTGCTCAGTAAGATGATTTGGGATTTTCATGCTTACTGGACAGCAAAATCAAGGCATATTCTGGATCTTTTAGTATGTTTGTAAATGTGAAACTGTCCTAAGTAAATCAAAGTCCATTTACACAGGCAGCATACTCTAGCAGTTCAATGCTAGGCGAGATGGCAGGTAAGCATATTGGGATTAAAAAGCTTGCAATTTGGTAGGAAGTTGCACTAGGTAAGAAAAAGGAAGTGACCCCAGATATGTTATATTCATGTACATAAGACCAACACAGTGCTGGAGCAATGGTACTCAGAGAGACATGCCAGCATGGAGCAGCTGAGAGAAGAACCTGGCTAGCTGGTTACTCCCTGCTAGACCAGCACACGACACCTCTCCTGCCTTGCTCATTAATAGCAGAGATATTGGTAATTTGTCCTGCCTTTCAAATCATGTTATTTGTTTGTTTGTTTGTTTGTTTGTTTGTTTGTTTGTTTATTATTGCTTAGCTTTGGGATGCAAGCTTTAATGAGTGTTTAATGAGAACAGAGCTGCTTTGTTGTGCCATTTTCTGACAGTGTACCCTGGAAACCAGATCCTACCAAACTGCAGCACATGGAAAATCTATAGGTTGCTTAATTAAAACAGGAAATATGAATGACAAATTAAACTGAAATACTAAACCTGAAATCTGTATGAAATATTTTTCCAGCCAAGAAAATAACACCAATAGCAGAACTATTTTATTTCTCTCACTTGCAGTTCCTTGGAGCAGATATCTGAGAGTTCTACAAATAGCAAAAAGAAAGAGATGTAATAAAGACGTCAATTCAGGTTTAAAGCATCTAAGTGGAAGACACAAGATGACACTAGGTAATTTTTAGGCCCATTACAGTATTACAAATGACAGAGGTACATTTAGTCAGATCTATAGAAGCAGACAAGTAGTATTAAGAGAAGGGGAATCAGGTGCTTAGAGAGTAGTTGTTTCCTGACAGACCTTTGAGGTGAATCATGAAAAATAGCTGCATAATGAACCTCTGGAATACGTCCCACAACTGCAATCAAGACACAGATTTTCCCACTAAAATTTCCCCATTAAAATTGTGGCACCTTCTTGGAATCCTCTTCTTTTAAAACAAAATGACAGTCCTACAAATCTGAGGCTTGGAAGCATTGTGAGGAACAGCGGATAGTTTACACAGCACATAGCAGTTTTCTTGCTAGATTTCTCCATACCACTGCATCAAAATCAGATCAGACAGAAGAAGAATGTGAGGTGTAGGGTTTTTTTTTTTTTCCTTGTAAGTCTTTTCTGCAGCAGTATTACCAGTGTAGCTGTAAAGGGTTAAGCAACAAGAAAGAAAAGAAAAAAAAATCCAACCAAAAGTAATGAGGGACAAGACTGATTTGCCTCAACAGAGAGTATAGCCCTTTAAAAAAAAAAAAAAAAAAAAAAACCCTTAATGGACCTTCCTGAGGTAAGAAATTACTGCAATTCATCTTAAATGACACTTGACAAGGTTCAAYGTATCTATTATAATCTCATTTAATAAACCCTTCAGCCCGCTTAAATATGCCTTCTGTCTGCTTTGCCCACTGGAGACATACATTTTAGCAATTCGTTAACCTCCTTTCTAATTGAGTGGACATAGGCAGCACTCTGCTATGACCCTGCAGAACCAAAACACAAGAAATTTTGTTCTATTTCTCAAAATACGGGCTCATTTCTGGAAAGGGGCACAGAAAGGTCAGAGAGATGTAGCTGTGTGTACCCTCCTTTAGATTTACTGAAAAAATTACTTGGTTGTTCTGAATTAGCCATTACTTCAGTATGAATTTTATTACAGGTCAAAGGTRCATTTGTGGAAGCAAAACCAAATCTTCTAAAATAAAAAATATCAGATAAGATCGGATAAAGAATTTCTTCTTCAGAGAAAATATAAATAAATGCCTCATTAAAGATGTTCTCAGAGGAAACAAGCTGGCTTGGAAATGCTCTGAACTTTGGGAGYGTTTGCTCAGTGGAGAGCTGAATTCAGACTTTGCAGCTCTACAGATGTATTTTATTTATTTTTCTTAAAGGGAATGGAATGGGATCAGAAGATGAGAATGCTGGTAACCATATGAGTGCTTCTAGATGGCAATGCTGCCCAAACTGGTACCAGTGCAGTTTATTTTCACACTCAGGTTAAGAGTCCAACACTTCCTGGTTTTAAAGAAGAAACTTTATTTTGCATTCACAAAGGTAGTTTGCTTGACATGTCCAATGCTTAGAGGCAAATTAGTGCTTAGAGCTAAATAGGTGGGTCATGAGCACTTTGAAAAACTTAGAGTGGAGCTGTTCTCTAGTCTTGTCATTTGTAATTTCAGCTCACATTATTGTACTTAACTCTGTGATCCTGTGCCAGGTCTAAACCCGATTTTTTTAGAAGTTTGTGCCCTATATGGCTGTGACTGGTTGTATCCAGTGACAACAAGCCCCAGAAGCTATTTATGCCAGGAGGGACTAAAGTCTCTACTTGTACCAGGTTGTGATCAAAAATGGAGAAGATCAAATGGTTCTRTGTCTTCTGTCAGTATTCCCCAGAGAAACACTGGAAAAATTTCCTAAGTTCTTTCYACTCTACTCAGTTTTATTTACCCGTACTTATTCTCTGGGAAGATTGTTCTAGGTGTTGCATCAGAAGCAGAACAGGCTCCAGACTTCTCCAAATGCACTGTCTCCTTACGTGGAACAAGGAAGGTGCATGTGCAAATGTGTGCGCTCAAATTACAACAAAAGTCAGAGCACAAGGCATTGGCTCTGTCACAGCAATCACCAGTTAATGAGACAGAATTTCTTTGAGAGTACCTGGACTCAAGCACAAAAGATAAAATGCTTCTCTCAGGAAGCCTCCCACCAAAGCTCCAGGTCTCTGCAGAGACACACATTTATGCATGAATAGAGAGGTTTCAGAAGAAGCAGACGTGTCATCTTGCATCTAGCGTGGAAAGAAGATGGAGCAGAAACTTCTGTTCCAAAATCTGACAGAACAGCAAGTGTGGGACAGCAGAGATGAGCAAAAGGAGACTGAGGTGAAAAGGTAGGTCTATCTCTTAGCTCTAGAGATATGCTCTAGAGATAGAGCATAGTCAGACCCAGGCTCTGAGCAGGTTTGGACTTGGTTCTTCTACCTGTGCTCTGACATGGAAACTGAATAGCAATGATGAGCATAGTGCTGAGCTGGGAAACATTGCTGACAGGTCACAGTTATTGCCTCAGGCTCAATGCCACATGAACAACAACTGCACAACTTCTGGTAGGCAGAAATAGCTCACAGCTGTCTGGGGACAGCCTTCAGTTCACCCCAAAAATGTTGCCATATGTCTAAGCTCTTTGATGCACTTTTACATGTAAATGATAGTATTCTTTTTATTTTATTTTATTTACTGCCTGCCATTATAAAAAGATTCTATCTTGAACTGTAGTCTGAGCCTGTGTATGGGAGCACTAGCAAATTTAATGTCAGACTTGTCAGTGATCAGGATAAGAGAGCCAAGTGCCAGTGATTGCAATAAATGAACCTCTGGTGCCACAGATGATCATGAATCTCAGCTGCTCAAGGATCTAGAAGCCAGCATGTGAGGAGACTGGGATCTAAGGACTATTGACTAGATTGGATGGTTGAGGCCAGCTAGTGAGGAAGCCAATTCTGTGAAAGAGAGTATATATTTCAGTAGTGCACATCAATCCTCACCATGCGGAGAGGAACAGGATGTGTGTATTACTACATAGGTGCTGCTAAAAGATATCTGTTTATCTATGGAYGACTGCAGAGGTTTTGTGTGTGTGTGCACATGCTTATGTTCGTTTACTGAACTTACATGGTAAGCTTCAATACTGAGGGAACAGGAAACAAGGAGCAGCATAGGCTCCTGGTGATCATCAGGCTGAGGCAGGAGGAAACCCTTTGGGTCCAGGAGCCGCTATATAGTGCTATCCCGTAACAGAATTTGATTGAAAAAAAATGCACACCACTCCTTGTGTAAGGACAAACTCATGCTTTATTGGTGGATCACCTTGTAAATATTTAGGTAGAGGGCTTGGACTTAGGCACAACAGTATAATTTCAAACTGTTGAGAGCTGTGTCATCCCCCCTTCCCTTGGGTTTATCTACCTTTGTCTGGAGCCCACAGACGGCTGTAGATTTGCAGCTTTCACTCCATGGGCCATATTGACCCCCTGAAAGTCCATGACCCTCCAGCTGTGTTCCATCAGAGCAGAGGAATATCACATTGTTGGCTGCTGTGTCATCAAGCAGATGCTGCTGTGGTTCCACACGCAGCGAGAAGGAAATTATCTTGTTACTGGTGCAGAACTGGGCCTTCGTCCAGGTTCCCCACCTGGCAGAGAGGAGAAACAACTTCCCAATATGTATTCAGCCTCTGCTCACGTGAAAGCAACCCTGCACCTTCATTGGGACCCTGGTAGTCCTCGGGCAGGGTATTTACAGAACAGCAAATTTCACAGAGAATTTCTTTCACTCTACTTCCCTTGAATGTTTTTGTCTTTCCCCCTCGATGTCCAGCTATCGACAGGCCCGGGCTGTCCTGTTGCTACATGACTCCTTGGTGAGTTCAGCTGCTTCCTTTGACCCTGTTATTTAACATCAATGTCTTTCTCCAAGTAAGCATTTGAGAAAAAGGAGAAAGAAAATGCTCAAGACCATATATTTGCAGTTCCCTTTCCTGACTTCAAGATATATTCAAAATCTATTCCCTTCTCTGGGAAAAGATATTGCCCTAAGATAGTCACACTTTGTGGCTAATGAGTGCAAGTGGTGCAGGAGATGGTGCAGGACAACCATCTTCACAAGGGTTTGGGGACTGCACTACTTTCCCTTGCCTTCCCAAAGCTACTGTCCTGAAGGAAGAATGATAAAGCAAAGGCTAAAAGGCTACTTACCGCCCCACCGAGGACTCAATGGTTGTGCCGTCTGTGCAGTGCAGGCGGATGCCATTCAGAGCTGTGTCATCACCAAAGAGCCAGAATCCCTGCTTGGACTCCACCTTAGAAGAATGGGCAAAAAAGTGAGTGTCACTGTCACGAGTGAATGGCCAACTTGCTGTCCCATTAGAAAGGATGGATAAGATGAGCCTTGGGAGAGGTATTAGGAGGCTCTGAGAGATGCAACCAGATACATCTTAGTGCTGCTAAGCAAAGAGTTTATAAGGCAGCTCTACAGCCTTTTCTAGCGAGCCCTATTTGCTGTTGCCTATGTCTGTACCTTTCGAAACAACAGAGCAGAGCTTCTGAACAAAGAGGAGCATTCGGTGTCTGCTGCCCTTAGGACATGCCCACACTCTGGTTGTGTCCACTGAYCCCAAGAGATGGAATCTGGAGAGGTGGAAGTTTTCGCTGCCCTTTGGGAATGAGCTCTAAAGGACAGATCCCCCAGCCTATACATATCCCATGGACTCCCCCGGTGAGAAATCACTCATTGGCAGGGAGTTTGGAGAGCTAATATGCACTAGAGATTTCTTGCTGATAAACCTGCATGAGCAGTAAAGATTCAATGCAAACACTGCTGCAATGGGACTAAGTGTTGCTGAGAGCCCTACTGAGACCTGAATGAGAGAACCTAATTTCATAATGAGTTGTTTTCTTTCCTGCTCTTGTAAAAGGAATGAAATCTTACCTTCAGTTCAAATCCCTTAGCGTAGCCTTTGGGGCAAAATTGTGGCTTCCCCCAAGTGCCCCAGAGGCCTCCATTGGGCACAGTGAGGAYGGACTCATATTGTCGTGCCTCTGTGCCTCGAAGGCAGCAAGAGCCCAGCAGGAAGAGGAGGGCAGAGAGGAGAGGATGCATAGTGAGGACCTGCTCTGAGTCTTGCTGCATAGAGCAGCTGGGTCGGAGGCTATTTATGAAGAAGGGAAGTGGATGGGAGTCCTTGGGAGAAGTGTCAACAAACCCCATGGGCACCACTGGTTGTTGCTACGTGCCRCTCCTGTTAACTGCCTGTCACTCAGGATTGGGGCCGCCCTTGCCAAACAGAAGGTTATCACTGGTGAAGATTGCAGCGGCCATGGAAAAAAAAAAATTGTTGTGAGGGAAGTGAGGCGGAGCWGAGATATAGACCCTGAGCGGGTACTGTGGCTTTGAGGATGGTCCTGGGAATGTGGTGAGGAGGGTATGAGAGGAGAAGTGCAGGACTGGCCAGGAAGGAAACCTCTAACAGCGCCAAGGTAAAACAGAGGTGGATGGGTCTCAGCGATCTTTGCTCTGAGGAAGTTCTCACTTGCTTTYTATCTCTCTCTGTCCTCTCTGTCCTGCTGGGGTTAAGGAAAGTGCAAGCACTGGAAACCGCTGAGTTTTGCTTTGAAATATGTGTAAGTGTAGATGACTAAGCAAAGATGGATACATCTCCTCACAGGACAAAGTGCTGCAGCCTCCAACCATTTCAGTGGCCCTTCATTGAACTTGCTACCATTCACTGATGCCATCTTGTATTAAGGGGCCCAAAACCATGCACAGTAGTCCATATACAGTCTAATGAGTGTAAAGTAAAAGGGAACATTCACTTCCCGAGATCTCTGATTCTCTTCCTTTTCATACAGCTGCTACTGGCCTTTGCTGTCAGGACATGCTGCTGGCTCATGTCCAGCTTGCTGCACATCAGRACGCCCCAAGGCCTTTTCCTCAGAGCTGCTCCACAAGCAATCAGACCCCCAGTGTGTTATTGCAGGACGGCTTCTTCCCCAGGGACAGGGCTTGTCTTATCCCTTTGTTGGATTTCACAAGGCTCCTGCTGCCTGATTCATCTGGCCTGTCCAAGTCCCTCTGGATGGCTGCCCTGCCTTCTTGTGTATCAAAAGGTATCCCCAGTTTGACATAATCCAGAGCCGTGAGAGTGCACTCCACTGCCTTCTCCACCTCACTAATAAAGATACAAGATATTGCTCAGAAGAAACCCTGAGGAACTCTGCATGTAACTGCTTTGCAGATAAAGGACCCATCAGGACTCTGACTTCACTCTCCCAATTCTAAGAGTTTAGTTGGATGTTCAAGGTCACCTGATAAACACCATTAAAAATGTTTAAACTATGGCCTGACCATCCTTCCCTTGGGAGCCTCTTCTAAGCTAAGACTTTCACTTCTTCACTTGCCTCCTGTCTTGTGATCCTGCCTCCTATTTCCCTTTCAGATTGGGATTTTCATGACCGGCTTCTTAAAGTAGAAACACATATTTCTCCTTATGCAGATAGAGCTTCCAGCTGCTCTGGTTTATATTTGGGAGCTGCCAATATACAGATCAGGTGAGAGTTTCAGAGTTTTCAGTCCAAGCAGACCTGCTATTTTTCCACTCTCAGGTAAGTAAGTCTTRTATGTCTAGATAGATTAAATAGCGAAGAGACCTCTGCAGATAGCAACACTCATAGGTCTTTCACGGGATAGTTTTAGAATGAGAGGGCAAGAAACCAGTGCAGTGGATCTCCTCATAAGACTGGCAGCAATCACAGAGAAGGCAATGGGTACTATATTCACTAATGTCCTGTGATGCAGTGATGTGATCAGCCCTCTACATTAGCTAGGAAAGCTACATAGGGTTTTCAGGGTATGTGAAAATGTACTGCTTCTGAGTGAAGTGAKGCTGGAAAAGTTAGGACTGAGAAAATTGTCTTAAGGAGAAGCAAAGAAGACCTTGGTGGGGGAGAAGGAATAGAAATGGCCAAAGCTGAAAAGGGAGAAATGTTCTACGCATCATATCCCTAAAATGAATCTCACTCCTTTCAGATCTGTCTTATTGACAGGGACAGTTTTCTTTGGCTTCAACTCTGTCAACTTTCCCTTTGTCAGTGCCTGTGCCAGTCCTGCCTCCTCAAGAGAGAAGACCCTGGTCAGTAGCTTTGCTGCTTTATTATTACTCCGTTTCATCTTTCTCCTTCCCAGGTATAAGCTATTGGCTCTGGTTCAGTGATTCTGTGATATTCCAACAGGAAGAAGTGAACCGTTCACAYTAATCACACTAGTAACTAACTTTGGCTATTGAAGGAAGATTTTTCATTCATACTTTTTTTTAACTTCAGTTAGCTAGAAAACAAACAAGGAACTAACTCCAGTTTTATGTTTCTCTTCCTTGTTGCTCACTAATTTTTAACTCTCTTGGAGTGGCGAGCCTCTTTTTTGAGTCAAATCTGCTTTATACTGGAAATTCTTTGCTATGTGAATATGTCATGGGCTGGAGCAGAGGCTGACCAAGGGAAATGCTAATGAGAGGTGGGGGCACTAGCAGCATTTTGTGAACTCTGTGACCTGAAATCCWGAGGAAGATAGGAAGTCACTGCAGCTCCAATTTGGCAGCAGGAAAATCTCTAACTACACCCTTCCAAAGGGAAAAGCAGATGATAAGTTCTCAATTGCTTGGTAGTGGGACTTATCTGGGAAGAAAGCTACCTTCCCGCTCATGATACATTATTGCTATGGATATAGATATATGCCTGCATCAGGAGAATGTTGCCAGCAGGTCAAGGGAGGGGATCCTGCCCTGCTACTCAGCTCTGGTGAGGCCACACCTGGAGTAYTGGGGGCAGTTCTGGGCTCCCCAGTATAAGAGAGATGTGGAGCTTCTAGAGAGGGTCCAGCRGAGAGTGATAAAGATGATTAAGGGACTGGGGCATCTCTCCTATGAGGAGAGACTGAGTGAGTTGGGCCTGTTTAGCTTGGAGAAGAGAAGGCTGAGAGGGGATTTAATTAATATTTATAAATACATGAAGGGAGAATGCAGGGGCCAAGCTCTTCTCATTGGTGGCCAGTGACAGGACAAGGGGAAATGGGTATAAGTTGAAASCCAGGCAGTTCCATCTGCATGTGAGGAAGAACTTCCTTACTGTGAGGGTGACAGAGCCCTGGCACAGACTGCCCAGGGAGGCTGTGGAGTCTCCTTCTCTGGAGATCTTCCCAACCCGCCTGGCTGCCACCCTGTGCCCAGTGCTCTAGGTGTCCCTGCCTGAGCGAGAAGGTTGGACTAGATGATCTCTAGAGGTCCCTTCCAACCTTGAACATTCTGAGATTCTGTGATATTCCCTGGGGAAAGCAAATGTTGGGTTCAGGTGACAGGACAAGATGGTCCCTCACTGAAGTGGAAATCTTAGGGCTAGTTCAGATACAATATCTGCATATTTGCCTCCTTCTTCACTGATGTCTTCAATGTCCTTCTCAATTTATTTTGGCCTGCTCCAAGGACAGTTGGTACACCACTGTTAGACTGAGTTTCAGAAGCARAAGTACTACCTTGCCTTCCTATCCTGCATGCAGCTCAAAAACCATTAGCARAGAATCAAAATTTCCTAAGCTAATAACTGTATTCTTTGAGGGCTGGGAAAATTATTGGTACACCCAGATCAGATTCATAGGTTAATTCTCAGCTGCGTACAAAATGCCCCCTTCTTGCCTGCAACATAACAGTGATGAGGTGCAATTGCTATGCTTGTCTCAATGAGAAAGATGGTGTTTCCCTGTGAGACCACTCCCAAATAACAAAAAGTCATTAAACTGAGATAGACTATGGCATCTCACTGCTTTCGGTGCAGAGCAGCTAATACTGAGGATTAGTTTTCTCTGAGACAAAAGCAGCTTTCTTCTTAACAGTCTCTCTCATTTCTGCAACTTCTTGTGGAAAGCAAAAAGCAAGGGGAAGGATGGGTCAGCACCTTCTACAGAGATTTGTTGCCTTTTGCTGACTAGTTTCCATCCAATCAAAGACTGGAAACACAGTCTGCAGCTAGGAGGGGAGTAAGGGGCYAATGCTGCTCCACAATGCTGTGGAGAACACTTGAGAAGGGTTCCTGGGGGAAGCAATCTGAGGAGAAGGGCAAAAGCCAGGYGTCACTGAAATGGGCTGAGAACTAAGGACTTCTGCTTGTGTCTGAAACCTTCTGCTAAAAAGCTCTTGGTGTTAACTAGCAGAGTTTTGCTATTTTTCACTTTTACCAAGTAAAGTCATCTCTATATTGTGATAATGTTCACTTTGAAGAATGAGGGGAGAATGTAAAGAGCATGGGGCCAACCTCTTCCCACTGGTGACCAGTGACAGGACAAAGGATAATGGGCATAAATTAAAGCACAAGAAGTTCCATCTCCAGGTGAGGAAGAACTTCTTTCCTGTGAGGGTGACAGAGCCCTGGMASAGGCTGCCCAGGGAGGCTGTGGAGTCTCCTTCTCTGGAGATCTTCCMAASCCGCCTGGCTGCCACCCTGTGCCCCGTGCTCTGGGTGTCCCTGCTGGAGCAGGGGGTTGGACTGGGTGATCTCTAGAGGTCCCTTCCAACCTCAACCCTCCTGTGATTCAGTAAAGCATGAAAATACATGAATTTATCACAAGAACTTTTCCTGGGGAAAAAACAAACAACAAAAAACTTGGAAGTACTCAAAACTTGCCCCGAGATACTTGGTCTTGATCTTGCTTTGAAGTTGGCCCTACTGTGAGCAGTAGGTTGGACCAAACAACATGTAGAGGTCCCCCTAAGCTGAATTGTTCTCTAATTCTGTAAAACAGCTGCAACTACTAAAATGTTGTCTGGAAATGAATTGGTATAAAACTAGATATATCACAGTGTCACTGAGATAATGATGAAGGCAAAACTCTTGAAAGCTGAAAGTTTTTAAGTTTTTCTGATTTAGTTAAATCAGTTTTTCTGATTTAATCTCTTYSCTTTTCTGCTTTTCATCAATTTCAGACTTTCACAGACGCTATCTTATTCCSTCCCGAAGCATCGCTTTCCTAAGAAAAAAGATTTATCTTTTTGAGCACCTCTTTTGCATCTTCTTCTGATGTTGTCTGTGTTTTCTGGAACCTTTGGATGTTTGGAA